TGGGGGACTTAAACGGGGCAGGGTCGGGAAGGCGGCGAGGCTCTCGCCCTCGTTCCCCCAAAAGTTTGGTGTGGTTTTTTTTTTTCTCCCCCCCCCCCTCCGCTCGATGTGATTTCACCCAGTCGCCATCATAATGCAAGAGGCCACGTTCGTTCGCCAGCGGACGCGGGAGGGAGCTTTGCACCTACCGGACGGGGGTGGGGAATTGTGTGGGGGGGAGGGAAAACGATATTATAGCTCAGAAAGAACAGTCAGAGAGCGAGCGATCGAGCGAGCGAGCTTCAGCCAATAAGCCAAAGGAGCCGCGTCTAGTTTGGAGAAATGGGTTCGCGGCTCAGGGCGGTCTCGCCTGACGGTCCTCGAGCCTCGTCCTTGTGGCAGACTCTTCCCAGCAGCGAGCGCTTTTGCGGGAAGGCGCCTCCCTTTCGCTCCCTTTTGTGCGACTGAGCGCGCCCTTGCCCTTCCCGTCGGCCAAGGAAAGAAACTTTCGGGCGCCCTTCCCACGGACAGCCTGCGCGCGCTTTTGAGGCGCGCAAGGCAGCAAAAGCAGCCAATCTCGGTGAGAAACCGCTTTTGGCCCGGGCTTGAGGCTGGAGCTGTTTCAAAGGTAACCCCCGCTAGGTTGCTCTCAAGTGTTGGATAAGTGTCACAGGCAGTTAAAATTACCCATTCAACAGCAAAGACATGCATAGCCTCTTTTATCTTACGAATTACATCAACGTAAATTTGAAACTTGAAACAAACAAAGACAAAAGTGTGCTACAGACAGCTTATCCAGGAGGAAGACTCTAGAAAGAGTACAGAGAAGAGCAACAAAGATGATTAGGGGACTGGAGGCTAAAGCATATAAGGAACGGCTGCTGGAATTGGGTATGTCTAGTTTAATGAAGAGAAGGACGAGGGGGGACATGATAGCAGTGTTCCAATATCTCAGGGGTTGTCGTAAAGAAGAGGGAGTCAAGCTATTCTCCAAAGCGCCTGGAGGCAGGACAAGAAGCAACGGGTGGAAACTAACCAAAGAGAGAAGCAGCCTAGAACTAAGGAGAAACTTCCTGACAGTGAGAACAATTAACCAGTGGAACAACCTGCCTTCAGAAGTGGTGAATGCTCCAACACTGGAAGTTTTTAAGAAGAGACTGGACAGCCTTTTGTCCGAGATGGTGTAGGGTTTCCTGCCTGAGCAGGGGGTTGGACTTGATGACCTTCAAGGTCCCTTCCAACTTTACTATTATTATTATTATTATTATTATTATTATTATTATTATTATTATTATTATTATTATTATTATTATTTATTATAAGAACGCCATCCTTAATCGTTTACAATGTAAACGATAGGGATGGCGTTCTTCCTCCAGGTAGCTGACTGCACCACACTTTTTGTTGTTGTTGTTGTTTCAAATTTCCAAAACATTGGTAGCAGAAGGAAACAAGGCAAGTTAAAACCCTTTATGAAATCGGGAGGGAACGCATCCTCCACCATCATCACATCTCTTCTTTCATACCCCAAGTTTAGTGATTAGGAACAGAGTGGCAGCATTCTTGCTAGGGCAGCAACCTTAAACACATTAATTTAATTAGCCTGCCCAACAGATGGCTTTTAACTGTATTACTTAAATTCCTGTAACCCCAGCCACCATTGCCCTCACCATCCAACACTATGGAGAACAACAAGGTACTGAATTAAGTTGCTGGTCCTCATGAGTATAGAGAAATTTCTTCTGAATTAGGTAGAGTTGAAGGTAAAACATGCCAAGTAAACAAAGAGCTGGATGAAACCAACCTCATAATCTTCCTACTGGGTGTTGCGTATGTGTGAGGAAAGTGGGTAGAATTTGCTGTGCATGTCCATTCCCTTGCAAATTTTATCAGGCTTAGGAAAGTTTGTGCAGGCATCCACTTCTTGTATCTGTTCAGATACTCACTAATCACTAAAGCCAAACATTACTTCAATGTATCAATTTACACTTCAGTACTGAATAAACAAATCAAACATATGTCACAACTACATGACAGATGGCTGTAGCAGAAAACTGTCAGCTATTTTCACAGTTTCTACTTATATAGAGAATCTACCCCCAAAATATTCCCAAAATCTAAGAAAAATGCAAATTAGATTAAAAAAATCTCAAGTTTTATCTCTGTGCACACATACAACAAAACTCAAGTTAGCTTCTCAATATTTACAGATCTTTTGACATTTACTGAAGAGCAGGCAAAGAAAGACAAGCCTACAAATATCCTGAGAAATGGAGAAAAACAATCTTAGGTACATTTCTCAGAAGGCATATTGTGTTCAAGGGATTTACTCCCACATATGTCAACATGGCTTGCAATTGATCATTGCCTTTATTTTAAATTTACTCAGATATAAATCCACTTGAGTCTATTCTAGTCCCCCCCAAGCAAATTTTGGATTATGTTCCAAATTAATCAGCATAAAATGAATGCTAAAGTTGATGACAAAAGCAACAGTACCTTGACATGAAAAAGCAGACATACACACAATTGGGCAATATGTTATTTCTGATGTTTTAGTGCAAAAGGTAAAGGATGCTTCAGCTGCTACAATATTGTAAATGGTCCACAACATTTCTTTGCTATTGCATGTGGTGCCAGTGTAGATTAATGCCAGGAAACCCCCAATATGGTGGGAATCCAGATTCAACTTGGATATTCATTAGTTGATTCCTGGGAGCCGCCTGGACAAGTCCATACAATTTTCTTAGCAAAGTTTTTCAGAACTGTTTTGCCATTACCTTTTTTTTCCTTTTTTTATAAATTTTAATGATTTTTAAAAATTACAATCTTTAGAGCTTAGTAAACAGTATGTTGTCTGGGTTTACATATTTAACAGTAACTTCTTCAATATAGATCTATTCAGTAGTGTACACTCCAGTATTTTTTTTTCTTGATCTTCCTTTCTTCCCCATATTTTTTCCCTTTTCCTCTCATTGAACAATTACAATTCTTAGTACTATTGATGTTTACAAAATTAAATATAGACATCTTCATCATATTTTACTAATATTATAGAGCAGTGGTGGCGAACCTATGGCACGGGTGCCAGAGGCGGCACTCAGAGCCCTCTCTGTGGGCATATGCGCCATCGCCCCCGTCCTAGGCCTTCAGCTGGGTTTTATAAAACCTTTTCATTTTAGGCCTCCGCCGCCGTGTGCAAAACAAAAGGTTCAATCAATCAGTCAATTTCAACTTCTCGCGGGGAAAAAAAAGATCTTGCAAAGTTGCAATTGATTGATTGAACTTTTTAGTCTGCCGTTACCACAGCAGCCATGCCCACCCAATGGGCCACACCCAGCCAATGGACCACACCCACCCGGCACCCGATAATGCATAAGTGGGTTTGGGGTTGCAGTTTGGGCACTTGGTCTCTAAAAGGTTCGCCATCACTGTTATAGAGATAACAATAATATCAATTCATAAATCAATATCCTGTTTTTGTGCTCTTATTAATATTTGATTTCCCATCAATATTTACAGTATCTTTATCAGTTATGATTTTCTCAATATTAATTATGTTTACATAAAAAAATTATTCATACCAATCTTCTTTTTTTCAAATTTCCCATATCAGGAGAAAAACAAAATGCTATTTTAATTCTAAATTATATCTTCCATTATAAAAATCTAGTTATATCTAAGGAACGTCCGTTGTTTTAATCATATTCAAACAGGTATATTAAATAGATAGTGCCCCCTCTGATAAATCAAATCTTCTGTTTTTTAAGTCTAACTCTTGCTTTCTTTGTTTGCCAAGTAGCTTTCTAAGCCAAGGCAATTAAACTGCCCCAAAATTTTCTTTCTATTTTTTGCAAGCTGCTTGGCATAAGAAAGGCAATTTAGATAGAGTATTTTTGGAGGGGAACTCCATCCATCCACATTCCCTAGACATTACCCCTGCCCGCTCTATGTTCTGTTTTCTCGAATCTTCTTCCTTGTCCTCAGGTGTATTTTGGAGAAAGAAGCAAGGAATCTTTTGTATTTTTATTGTTATAGGTAGGTCTTGCAGTATTTTATTTGTATATGGCAGCCCATATTTCCCTTCTCCTATCTCCTCCATCTCTAGATCCATTTCTTCTGCTTCATCCTCTGATTTCTGGCTTATTTGTTCATACTTTGTAGTCGTTGTCTGGGAGCTTTCCAGCTGTAGCTTCAATTTGGAGGTTTGGTCCTTTATATCATCTAGGTTATTTTTAGTCTATTATGGTTTCTTTTTATGTCCTCTTTTTGTGCAACAATTGTTTGATGTATTTGCTGTAACATAGAGAGTATTTCCTTCTGAAAGTTACTTGTTTTTTCTTGAGGCATCATTCCTAGAAATCCTCTAGTATCACCAGTCTCAGTAAGAGTGGAACAAGATTTCCTCTAGTTTCCTCTGTCTTTATATATAGCCTTTATAATCCAGTCCTAATAGC